TTTGAAACGAAGATGAGCACCGCCCCCTAGAGTTGGGAACAACTAGCACATATGTGCGAGGGGAACCGTTACCTTTAAAGCAGGAAACTACAGTGGCACCTAAAGCTGGAGGCCACCTAGCATGATAGCTCTGGATGGATCATCATCATCTGTTATAACTAATGACGCAACTCTTTTTCAGGAGCCCTTTTGGTTACGATCACTACTATTCTTGATCTTGGCTGTAACCATGTCCGGTAATCAAGTTCAACAAGGAGATCCTAATTGAGAAATTTCTTGTCCCCAAGCCATCCATTAAAAAAATACATATATCAAACTAAATTGTGCAGAAGAATGTAAATCAGGAGCTCCGCTTGGAACTGCCCAGGAGCTGCATGTGTCTCGTGATCTGTAGTTTGCCCAGCCTTGGAGAGAGCTGGCACTTGCTGCTGTTCCATAAATATGTGTTAGCAATAACTAAAGTAGGCATGGAATGTGCAGCTGGGTTTCTGTTACAAGTGTTCTTGGCAGTGACTTGGCTGGAAAGTCACAGAATTACAGGAAGCTCACTGACACATTTCTGCATGCAACCGGGCTTCTAGGTTAATAATCATGACAGACGGCGAGCAACGAAAAGCAACCTGATATTCTTTAAAAAAATAAAAAGTTGCTTGATTTTTTTTTTAATAATTTTTTTATTGTTGTCATTGTTTCCTCCAGGCGACTGAATAACAATGAACTGACGGCCATTCCATCCCTGGGAGCAGCTTCAGCCCACATAACTTCCTTGTTCCTGTAAGTCTCAGCATTAGCATTCCTATGAGTATATTTTTAATTTGAAGAATCTGTGCAAGGTATACTGTAGTGTTTCTTTTTTTAGCTTTAATACATTCAATGATATCAGCTGGAGCTTACTAAATGTTGAAGTTCCAGTTAAAGACCTCTGCTGTTCTTACCTGTAAAGTACTTAAAGGGAAGTCTTCCATGACCAAAAGTGCCTTGGAATACAAAAATCTAGAGAGGGGGGGGGACGGGGAGAGGGAGAGAGAGAGAGAGAGAGAGAGGAATGAGAATGAGAATATGAGAATGAGAATGAGAGAATGAAGGTAATGAGTTATAGGTTTCAGGCTGAGGTGGGTTCAGCTTGGTTCGGTCGAGTAGGTAGTAACTTGGCCTGCCACTGGTTCCCTCAGCGTTCCGTAGGGGACGCCATCTTGTTTTTTTGTTTGTGTGCATGCGCAGGAGCATTTTTTTAGTACTGTGCATGCGTACATAGCACACACATGTGCAAAGCATGTCCCTGAGCAAACCGGCAGTATCAGCAACCGGAACCCACCCCTGGTCTCAGGACTCAATAGAGGTTATAGGTTTGCAGAATTCAGTTGAAAATTTATTCCCCCCCCCCCTCGCAAATAAATAAATATATGTATGTATGTATGTATGTATGTATGTATGTATGTATGTATGTATGTATGTATGTATGT